CCATGTTCTGCGGAACGAAATAATAGGCCTCGCTTTCTGCCAGTCCTTGGACGGTTTCGATAGAGTGAGTCCAACAGTTGTGGTAGAGAGTGTGTTGCCAAGTATAGCAGCCCATAACTGACCTCCAGGCGTGGCTATCTCAATCGGCAGAGGAGTGAACAGCCAGTAGGTGCTGGTGCGGCGCCGATAGTGAAAGGCTGGCTCAAAGTCGGGATGTTGCGAGCGGAGTAGTTGTTGAAACTTGCGCCTGCGAGAGTACGGCGGCATCTTACGTACACACAGGGCTGGCGATATAGTTGATCGGGTCCGAGGCCGCCTCCCTTAGGTTAGGAATCTTGTTGGTGAGCAAGTAGGCGTGCTGTTGCAGCATGTTTGAAGAAAGAAGAATTTGGATGAGCAGGCTGGCTTTGTAGTACAGCAAGATTTCCATGAACTCCGGCATGTGTCCAATGTCCTGAACTGATGCTCTCTGGACGATGGTCAGGAGAATGTCGCAAGCAAGTCTAGCTCTATGAAGTGGAAATCTGTGAGATCATTGGGACGATGTGTCGCAAAGTTGTCGTTCGTGAAGGTCCAAGACCATGCGAGTCATTGTGAGTGCCGAGGTAACCAGTCTATGCGGTGCAAATCGCCGAACAACATCAATTTGATGATCAGGAAGGCGAGGGGTCCCATCGTGTGGGTAAACGAAGCGCCACAAGCTACGCACAAAGTCGAAGTTGTCAGTGCGTGAGGAGATTTGAGGCCATCCCACGTCCCACTGCAAGACACCTGAATTTAAGAAATTCTGTCCATCCTTTTCGATTCCCTCTGACCCCTTGACTGCGCAACATATCACCGCAAGAAAGCAGCTGGAAATGACTGCGTGTGTGAATGGATGAATGTGTCAATCAACAACTCTGCAATCCGCTCAGCCACGCTCTCATGTTTGTAGCACCGATGCAAGCCATCAAAATGTGCTAGGCAACAGCTATTTGATCTCAGCCGACGAGAAGACGAGCTCCAACTGCCTTATCAAAGTTTGGCTGCATAGATGGGCTCGGCTCCCCACATAGTGTGGACGCGAGGGACTAAGCATCGCTCTTGGGGATCTTGCCGTGAGCCTGCAGGAAGGTGGTAGCAAGAAATTCCAACTCCTTCTTGGTGATTTTTGAGGCAACATCGCGATTGGCAAGTCTCGGCAGAAACCAGTTGACGATCCGGCATGGTAGAGTTGGTCGGTGCACCATGTCGAAGAGTCCGGGAGTGTTGGCTTGGGCGGGCTGCTCAATCTTCTGTCTCTTGTGAGTCTCACCGCGAAGGGAAGCCATGATAGGCGGTGGAGTTGTGTAAGATTTGCCATCATTCGCTGCTGCAGTGACCATGGTAACGTAGAAGAAGAAGGAGGAGACCAGATTGTCTTGGTCGATACTCACTGTGAATGCGTGACAGTGCATAGACTAGCTTTGCAGATACCTGATGAACTTGACTGCGTTGCGAAAAGTCTTGGAGGTTGACTGAGGCCATCCTGCATCAGCAACTGGTTGATCATCCGCTCGTGTTGTTGGTGACCTCCAAGACTTTTCACAACGCATCAAAGTTCATGAGGTGTCTGCAAAGCTAGTCTACGCACTGTCACGCATTCACAGTGTTGGTCTTGTGTGCGAAACATTCACGAAAGCACCTTCGTATCTCACTGAGGTCACGATGCTGAGGTCACACAACTGAGGTTTATAGAGCTGAGGTCACGGTGAAACAACTGAGGTTCCTGAACTCCGCAAAGCGGACCCGAGGCCACACCAGGGGTGCACTCGAGGATCTCCCTTTCGGTATAACACACTTCAATACCCCAAGGGGTGGTTTGGTGCATTCGTGTACGTCATGCAAGACAGGAGAGGAGACACAGGTTCGACTGCTTCATTTCGAGTTGGCTTCAGGCTGTAAAATCAACAATGAACGCATCACCGATCGAGCCATTGGTCCTTGCAACGCAACAGCGAAACACACCAGACAATGAGGCTCTTTTGCAGGTACAAGATGCTGCGTCCAGCGTCTCATCCACCCGATTTCCGTAGCTTCGTCGGCACGGCTTAAACAAAATGGCGCTGTGCCCCCTGCATGAACTGAAATGTGATCCCAGGGTAGATCTAGGACTCGGCACACACACACACCCACGCACGCACACCCACCCACCCACCCACCCACCCACCCACCCACCCACCCACGCACGCACGCACGCACGCACGCACGCACGCACGCACGCACGCACCCACACAAGATCTAGTTGATACACACACGCACACCATACATACACGCAAAGACGCTCCCGCGCTCTGGCTCTCCCTCTCTCTCTCACTCTGGCACACAGACACACTTAGGAACACGCACACACACACACACTCAGGCACACACACACACACACACCCAGGCTTACACACACACACAGGCAGACAGACACAGCCACAGACACAGACACAGACACAAACACACACACACACACAGACACCCACACACACACAGAGAGACACGCAGACACACGCAGACACAAACAGAGACACGCAGAGACACACAAAGACACACAGAGACACACAGAGACACACAGAGACACACAGAGACACACAGAGGCACACAGAGACGCTGTCCCTCTCGCACACACCGCACGCGCACGCACACGCACACACACGCACACACACGCACACACACACACACACACACACACACACACACACACACACACACACACACACACACACACACACACACACGCAGTCAGAAACAAACACACACACACAAAGATGCGCTCTCTCTCTCTCTCTCTCTTTCTCACGCGCTCACCATCCATACGAATACATGTTCGCACATGCCTCGGATATGCACATCATACAACTATATGTGCGCTTGCACACATATGTTTGCCCTCGCAGGGTACTGCTGCCAAGCCACAGCACCACTGTTTGCAAGTCACGAAGATCTAAACAAACCAACATTGAACATATCATCCGGGCTTTTACAACCAAATTCTCACATGGACCTCCTGAAATGTAACCTACAAAGGAGAATTTAACCAAAGGAAGGGCGAATCCGAGTCAAGCAACTTGAGAATGCTTCAAAACATTGGCAGGGATTGAACATGCTGACCAAGTCGCCAAGTACTCAGACCGGCGCCATGGGGTGCCGGGGTGTGAACAAGTCCGATCGAAATGAATGGGCATTTGACACGTAAACAGTTGTTGCTCTTTTCTTCATGTATCTCTTGACCAAACCTGGAACCCACAAGGATTGCAACTATACGGGGGGGTCATGTTCGTGTGGCTTCGTAATTTGGAGGATACATGTCGTGCTTTAAAACCTTCGCGTTGGTGTTCTGGAAGTTAAGGAAGCCTACCATTACATGCCCTTTCAAAACCATCAAACATGGATTTGCCCCCCTTTCTTTGAGGTACCCCCTGTAAAGGATGGTTTCCACTGGTTTCCCTTAAAACACCTTAAAACCAACCTCAAAAAGGCTGCAAAACTCACAGAACTCAACCCACAATCTTGTGTCATACTTCTGCTGCTACTGCTGCTGCTGCTGCTGCTGCTGCTGCTGCTGCTGCTGCTCAGGTGCATTGATTTTGCTCGAGCCAGACACAGAACATTCGCTGCAAATATCATTTCAGAAGATGGCTACGGGAACCTCAGTCTTTGGCCCAGGCCAACGCTCCGGTCAATATGGGTGTCTCCAAATTGGAGGCCATACGTTGGTCTCCCTCCCAAAAGGGGTCAGTTTTGGTATTTTATGGGGGGGTATGTCAAGAAATGCCTATTTAGAAAGAAAAGGCCCCGGAGGTATTTTACGAAATGCAATTAAAAAGAAAGGACCCATGTTCAGAGCAAAAAAGCAAAATCTCCCGCGCCTGGCTTCCGGTCCTCCATCGGCTTCTCCCCGTCCAGGATGTGGGCTGCTGCCTCAAGTTCAGTGCGAAGGAATCGACTCGAGTCTCTGAGTGGATTGGCCGAGACGGAACTCAGAAAAAGGAAACACCTTCTCAATGGCACTGGGATACAAAAAAACATCAATTTCCCGTAGTCTTTCACAAAAACATGTCCAGGAACTCAAAGGACATTGCTTTTGGAGGTGGACGCTAAGGGGACAACAACCCAATAGCTAAGAAAGGGGGGCTTGCAAGCAGGATCGATCTGTCTCAAACAAGGGGGGATTTCTAATGAGCCTGGTCAAACGTACTTGGTTCCCCAAAAAGGACATGGGGATTTTTGGGCGAGTCACCTGGTTTTTGTGTGGGAGATGGGAGGTACGTCCCCCCATATCCCTCCCAGATGACCTTCCAGATGGACCTTGGACTAGTCGAAATGATGACCTAACCTCGTATCCGTAATCAGAAGTACGGCGACAACAAGAACAACTACTGCCATCCGGCATCAGGAGTAAGGAGCGACGTACAGCTTAGTTAAGCTTCCGCAAGCCTCAAAAGTGCTCCTGAAGTACAACCCTCCTTTTTGGAACGTCTCACTCCCGTGAATTGGCTTAAAGCAGCCCCAACTGTGTTGCTTCCAACTAAAACGACCGTCTTAAAGGAGAAGAAGAAATGCCTAAAATGTCCAAGTCCAAGCAACATGCTCACCAGGGCAAAGTCTCAAGATGTCCAAGCAACATATTCACCAGGGCAAAGCATGTCCTTTCTGCCATCACACGAACCAAGACTTTGCTGGAACAAAGAAGGGGGAGCTCCGCAAATCAAAGGTTTCGGACCACCCCCTGCACTCTTCGTACCCCTTTGAGCATATTCTAATGATCATTGACATTAAACCCAAAGCCCAGATTTCTGAAGGAATACAAAAAACGATGTCAACTAAGTTCCGTCTTCATCTGGCCATGGGTCAAAATCCCGTACCCCCAGTGAACATCCCAATCCCCACTCGAATAGGTTCTAAAATGGGTGGTGCACCGAAAACCCCAAAATGGGATCCCAGAACGGTTTGACCACCACAGCCATCTGAGAGCAATGCCCCGCTCACCTTTTTGGCACAAAGCGGAGGTGTCCCACATCTAATCCGCTGCCAGCGGATCACTGCCTTTCTATTCAGATGACACGTCCACGTCGTATCTCGTCATGTTGTAGATGTAGCGCAATGTCACCACTCTCTCGTGGCCGTTGTGTTCCTGAGCAAGGCTTATTCAGCTGTCGGCTAAAAACAAGATCCCGAAGGGAAAGGCCCAGCCTTTGCATTTTGGAATGTCCCAACATTTGAAATGCTTTGAACATCTTTCGGGGACTCATGACTCTCCAAACGGATCCTCTTTTGGTGGAGAATTCAATTTCATCTAGAGGGAAAACCTTGCCAAATAATTGACTGATTCCGACGGTGCGAAACCTTCTTGTGGATACATATCAACTGCCCTTCGCCATAAGCTCGCCCTGGATGCATGGACTCACGACCCCTCCTCAAGAGGCTGCCAATTCTTACGTAGGAATCCACAAATCCTTCAGTTACATGAACTGAAGTTATTCACCAAATTCCTAGTGGTTCTTTTTAATACTGAACCTGTGCACCAAACAAGTCGTCAGAAACCACGTCTCCAGCCCAGTCCGCCGATCATCAGGTGACGAAGCAGGTCCGATGGAATCTTGCGGAAGCCCGCGATGCAAAACCAGGGCCCAAATCATTGGAGTGTGAAACAACATGTACGTATGGGTGTGTCTTTTCCGAGGAACCCCCCTAATAAATTACAAACAGAACTATATATATATACATAAAAAAAGACAATAATGACCACAACAAAAACATAGTACTAGTCATATGAATAACAAGAATAGTAGCAATGATAATGACAATGATACGTAATGATAATAAACATCAATAACAGCAATAATAACAACAACACTTATACCAATACTAATGCAGAAGGGGATGCCCTGAGGGCTGCGTTTTTCAGATTCCTGGGGGCTGCGTTTTCCATCAAAAGCCGACCAAAGGACTCAAATAACCATTAAACAAATGCAGGCCTTATGGCTGGGCAGTCCAAGCTTGGGGACATAGGGCCTGCATTTTTTGTTTTGGACAATTCGATGTGTTTGCAATTCTCCAGAACAACAAAAACTCGAGTTTTTTTTTTCAGCAGGCCCTCTGGCTGGGTAGTCGAAGCTTAGGGACATAGGGAACTTGGTGTTCTGTTTTTTTTTCTTTGAAAGTGGTTTTTGATGTTTCTCAGCATCCTCGTCGTCAACAGAATGCCTTCGGCTCTGTGACTTTCGCAGCGAGCTCTGCATTCAAGCCAGCCGTAGACACCGAACAAAAACTAGCTTCGATTGAGATGGTGTCAGTCGACCCAGACAACACGGTTAATACATGTTGTTTAGATGTTTACTGATTTGAAAGGACAGTTCTATTGGAAAGGAATTCCCGTGTAACATTTATGTTGACCTATAATAATCATAATTGAAAGTC